ACAGGACTGTGGGAACCAGCAGCCCACATCCTTCTTTGGTGGCTAGGCACTGGTTGTGGATTCCTGGCAGCCAGTGGCACACTCTCAGCTTCCATCTCTTCTGCATACCCCACGCTCCTGGCAAATTTTCTAATGGTGATGTTAGGTCCAGGAGCCCAGGACCCCAAGGGATATTTTGTGGCAGGGCATACCATTAGCCCCCAAAATAAAACTTTGCAGCCTTGAGCACGTCAACTCTCCTTGTCTCAGGTACCCCATCTCCAAGATAGATTTGTCAGACTATGTATCTACGTCTATTCCCAGCTACAAATGTGATGCTGCAGCACTGATAAAGGTTAGCCTGATCTTCTGTTAAATCCCTTCTCTTTTTCTGTTAGAGAACCATCCTCTGTAAACATATCTAAACCACGTCTTGAAGATAAGCTGTGTGTGTCACTTTTTTCCTTACAGCATTTAATCAGTGAGTCATCAGCACAATGTGTTGGAATAGTACAGCCATAGAAATCAGATCTGAAGTCTAATCTTGATTTAAGAATAATGATAAGGCAAAAACAAAATAATATCATCTATACCTCACTATAAATTATGATCTAAACTAAGTTTACTCTTATGCCTTAAGAGAAAAATTATTTTCAATTACTTTAAGCTAAGTAAACCCAGCACGTGCATAAAAATGCAATATCAAGGTGCTTCATTGCCTCCAGATCCGTCAGTCCCTCAGGTTTTTCCTTCTCTCAGTCTTACCCACAATTTTTTCTAATAATAAAATATTTTCTCCTCAAACAACAAATCAGTTTCTGATCACTCAGTGAAAGTCACATGGTTTGCCTTTTAGAGGCTTGGAAGGAGACAATGCCATTTCAAACTTGGGAGTTTGAGGTATGTGCCATAGGACACAACATGTTTGCCTGTTGGTAACCCTTGGCCTAGGGTCACACTCTGTGGCCTGAAGCCTTTGCAGAATCATCTCTATAGGTAGGAATTCCGTATAAACCAGTGTCCTCTTGGTTTATCCAAATAAAGGATACTAACAAAATTTAGTCTGTGTGTAGTTCTACTAGGCATATACTAGGAACTCATTTACAAAATCCGTCCCCTTCATTCATGAATTCATGAGCACATACTATGCTTTTTATGATAGATAATTTTTTTCTAGGGAGTTTTTAATCACAGCAGCTGGTAGCCTCTGTGTTGTTTTAATGCTTACATCCAGCGAGAGCACAAGGCATGATACAAATTATCATGTGTTGCCCTAGACTTCCACTTGCAATAAGGAGCATACACAATGCCATACCAAAGTGAGTTTATTGACATTCCTTGAAGGTGGTTGATGGAAGAGAAAGCGCGGCCTGAGTATCACGTGACATTTCTCTTGTTGATGTAAGCAAAATCAGCCCAATAATGTGGACTTCTCCTGCTACTGACTAGAACAAAGACTGTTTAACAAAATTGTTATAGACATTTCCTTAGATAAATTGGAAGCTGCAGGAAATAGGCTAATGGAACAATATTTACTCTATATACTACCTCTAGGCACCTTTTTTTTTTCTACTAGAACAAAGGGACTACATGTCACTAACAGGAAAATAACACTTTCTCTTTTGGACCTTATGATGGCTGGAACATCCATCCCAGACTTTTATGATATAGTATTGCAGTAGTTTTAATAATGAACACCAAAGTACATTAATAATAATAATAATAATAATAAAGCACCACATTTGTTATGTAAAGTTCTAACTACTTTCATTTGAAAGTGTTTCATCTTGACTGGGAAAACATTTGTGGCAACTGAGAAATTTTCTGAACCCGAATTTTGGACATATGGTTTGACACATGGACTGACAATGAGATTGATGGAACATTTAAGCTTTCCTGGAAAACTCAGCTCATTGACTTGCCACACAAATATACTCATTGTTAAAGGAGAGATGGCCATGTATTAAAAGAAAAAAAAAAGATTAAAGTCTTGCATATTTAAAGCCTGCCCCCGAAATAATATATATCTCTTTTTCTTAAACTTCTCACTACCCTCCCAGCATTTTCACAACCTCCACCAATTTATAAACATAAGTTACAAATAATCAGTAGATTTAGAATACTTCTCCTAACCCTGCAGAGTCAGCTTCTGTTTTTAGGATTATCATCTTTTATATTACAGAACTAGAATTTTGTGATATCCAGGAAATTATAATATCATTTTGTAGCATTTCAATAACATTTTTCAAAGTTGTAACATAGATCATCTCTTGTTTGTTATTCTTATTTGCTGCTCAGTTAATGACATTACACTCTTATTAAATGTAGGTCTAAAATATCTTGTTTCAGGGAGGTTGTGGCTTATAAGTGATTAGTTTTGCAATTTGCCTCAATGATGAAAACTCACACTTTAGAATTTTTAAAAAAAATTACAAGTGATAACAAATAGATCTGTCTTACCCACTGAATTATATGATTAGGGGTTGTTTACACCTCCAACTAAAGAAATTAATGGAATAATTTAGTTCTATACCTATTTCATTTTATATATATAAAATAAAAATTATGTATAATTAAGAATCAGCCTTATGCATGAGGTAAAAAGGTTCTCTCCATAACTTGTTTCTCCTTGTTTTTCTTCCTTAAGGACTCTATGCAAGGCTGTAATGGAATATCAGGACCTTTTAAAGTAAGTTTTACATTCTTTCAGGTGATTTTGACATCAGTATTTCTTTATGAAAGTTTGTACTTTTGAAATACTCTTCCTGTTTTGCTTTGTGGGATACATCTAGAGCCATTACATTGACAGTGGTGGCGGATAAAGAAAAGTTAGTTGAAAAATAACTTATGTCAAAGTTCCTTCTCTCTATATAAATTTCTGAGATACTGCATTCTTTCTGTATATGAGCAGAATACATATTCATTAACCCTATCAGTAAATTAATTAGATATTTATGTAAATTGCAAAGCTCTCCAGGAGCAAGTGCCATCTCGTGAATAGCCTTCTCCCTTTTCAATGCCTGACAAATAACGTAAGTACTAAAAAGGAGAGTTGAGTGCTTGAATTAATGAATATTTATATATATATAACAACAAATTCTAAACATGAATGATGCCCCTTTATTAGAGATGCTGTTTCAAGAGTTAGAATTAGGGTATGGTGTAATAATCTGCATAAGCCTATGCTCTGATTTCATAAATAAATAATAGCTTCCTTGGAATCCATCTCTTTTTCTTTTTTTTTTTTTTTTTTGAGTTGGGGGTCTCACTCTGTCACCCAGGCAGTGGCAGGATCATGGCTCACCGCAGTCCCCAACTCCTGCAACTCCTGGGCTCAAGTAATCCTCCTGCCTCAGCCTTCTGAGTAGCTGTGACTATAGGCTTGAGCCACGGTGCCTGAGCTGGAATTCATTACTCTTAAGATGCCGACATGTTATATAACCCTCAAATCCTATCTTGTATAACTTACACATTCCATCACATCCTGGTAAGTATTCTTTTTAGACAACACAAGTATATGCTATAGAATTAGATTTCTATAACATGTATTACCTGATTGACAACAGACAGACAGTAACAAGGGGTCCAGGGCATAAAAAATAATTCCTATTAAAATAATATTTCAGATTGTAGGGAACATAGATAATGCACAATCCATACATAAGTTGGTAGAATGAGCCACAAGGCATAACTTCATATGAAATTAACTTTGTCTTACATTTTCACATTTCCCCCTTGTTTTAACATATTGAAAACAACAAGGTGATATTTAAATAGTGGGGTCTCTTGAGTTCTTCTTTTCCCAGTGAAGAAAAACACTTTCAGCTATGACATATTTTGGACAACATGGATAACAAGGTTAGAAAAATAGCAAATGACCATTATGGTTGGATTTATTTCAAATGTAATTGAGAGGTTAGGCTGTCTTTGGAGCCTGCAACTGTTTTTCTGACAACACTAAGTTTTTTGAGATGTGTTTTTTGTGAATGCTAAAAGAAACTGGATATTTATTTTGACACAAGTCAACATGCCTGTGGGGTGTTATGTTTCTGCCCTGGGAGAAATGCTGGATGAAGGAGAAGTATCATATTGCCCTTGATCCCTAACAAGCACCATCACTCTCTACAGCTTCTTAGTGTGGTCCCTGTGGACAATCGGGTGTGATGGAACTTGAACACCATGATTAAGAAAATAAAAGGAAAAAAGCACACACAAAAATCAAAGTTAAAAAGAAAAGATTTGTCTGCCAAGCAAGTAAAACTTGGTTTTAAGAAAAGTCATGGTATCATCTATACATTTTTTTCCTTTTTGAAGGAGAACTGTAGCTAGACAAAACAAAACAGCACAGAACTCAAGTTTTCAAACCAACATAATATGTCCTTCTTCCCTTTCTCCCATTTGAGTTACTACATTCTACACAAAACAATGGGGGTTGAAGCCTTGTTCTTCATGCTACATCAGCCAAGAAGTTTCCTTCTTGGACATGTGCACAAGTTGTTTCTTGTGTGGTGAGTATTCACTAGGGATGTTCTCCCACCTAGACTCCTCTTAACTCAAATTGAGCCCACAATCCTTACAACCATAGGGATGCACTGCGTCGCATCAAGCAGCAGGTGTTTTTCTCGCTGTTAACTGTTGGAAGTGTCATATTTGCACCATGTCTAGGCTAGTTCCAGCTGATGGGACTGATGCCACATGTGAATCATGAGTTGAATGTATAAAAATTTCAGTTTTGCCACTGCTGTCCTTTGGATGGATAGTATGCACAGGGAAAGTAGAAAGGGAGGAAAACAAAGAGTTGATCAGCTCCTACTTCTGGAGTTGGTTGTTGGAAATTATAAAAAATGGTGGCTCTGCTCATAAGACATGGGCGTATAAAAGCTTGGAATGCTTAATGCTCAAATTTTCCCTTAAATGATAGAAATGGAAGTAAACATTTATTACCATTTGGTCAAGTGTAGCATAACTTGCATTCATATTTCATTGTTAGTAATGGAGGTATGTGGAGATATACACAGACCTTGAGACAGCTGTTTTTTTTTAATATTGCATACAGGCTAGCAGTTCATTGAAAACAGAGGAGAGAAGCCTGAAGGTTAGATCTTAGAAGAAGGTAGTTCTTCATGCACAGCTTTTGTCAATCCTGATTTGGTTTGAAAATAAAAATCATGGAATACCAAAATCAAAGGAGAGTTGATTAAGGGAAAGGGAAAGGGGAATCATCCGAGGAAGGGTGATGTCACTGGCCAGGAAAATGTCAGGCGAGGTTCCATTTCCTCACTCAAGTCCAAAGGTGCTGGTTTCTTCTACTGCTGTTAACAGCTTTTCATACAACATAGAGTATGAGGGATACGGTGGAAGATCCAGTCGGTTGAAGCATGTGTGTGCCCTGAATGGGGAGAAGAGATTGGTGAGAGTGTTTGTTTCAATGATACAACTGGTTCTGGATATACCTGTGACTTAGTCTGATATTGTGAATAAAAAGGGAACCCAAAGTGAGCAGGACCATGATTTACGACCACCATAAAACACTGCAAACTAAGAGCCATAGACTTCTAGAATGAATAGACCAGTTGAAGGGATGGAATAACTAGAAATGGGTGGCTTGCATTTGTAAGCAAATTGTACTATACTAGAACTACACTACCAAACCAATGATAAACTTTAAGGGATTAGTCTGATTTCGCAATTGCATAAACTTTGATGTGGTCGGTGAAGGAGGTAGAAATATAATTAGTATTAAAAGATTATATTCCTAAGTCTTCTTGCTCAACTCTGACTTCTGAGCCTCTGTGAAGCGTGTGTTACCTATTTAGAGGGGCCCACGATACCTGGAATTCTGAGGTCGAGTTCTCCATTCAAGCCAGGTGTGCCCTGAAGACAAGTCTAACTGCCCTACCCCAGCAGAACATACAAAACCTAACGCCAAAGAGCTGCATTTCCAAGAAAAGCTGCGCTTGTGAGACATTCCTCCCTGGATGCCTGGAGCATCCTTGTGCCACCCGCTCTGCTTTGGCTTCTGCCTTAGTTACCATGTGCTTCCTCCTGTAGGCCCATGCTTGCCAGTGTCTGCCTTAGACAAGGAGCATCTTCCCTGCCTTGCTGTGAGCATGTGAACCTGGAAGACCCACGTGGATGTCCAGCAGTGAGTACAAGAAGCCCAGCATACATAGATTCCCTCCTGTGGAGCCTCAAAACACCTGACTGGGTGCTCCCTGCTAGGAGTTCTTTGTTTTTGTGGAAGTTTTTGTTGATGTTGAGTTCGTATCAAAGTAGGGAGGAGGGGGGATAGGAGCAGCGCAAAGTTCATTTTATTGCCTTTTCCTTCCTAGGATTGGTGTGTTGAAATGGTGTTTGGAGACACCAACCAGCACAGAAAAGGACACTCTCAAGTCAAATCAAATCACAAAACAAACGTACAAAGAAACAAACAAAACTAAACTCCCTTTATTAGAATTTTATTTGGGATATTAAACTCTTCTTTTAATTACAAGATCCCTAGGGAACTTGTATATTATTCACACTTTTGTTTTGAATTATATAAATTGGAGTACCAGATCATGGTGCAGGCTGGTGCAGCACTCAAATTATGGGGGGAATTATTTTGGGGATGAGGAGGGTAGGAAGAGTGGAGAGGGAAGGTGGATTTTCCTACACAGGGAGGATCTAGGGAGGATGCTGGTGTTTTTGTCTGCCCAGCATCCATTCCTCCTCTTGGCAGTCCTTAGGGAACTATGTCTAACCCCCGCCTCCCTTTTCCCTGTCTCCCTTCCCTCTTAAGCTCCAAGGGTGGGCATAGGACAGTAAAGTATCTGATCTTGGGCCTTAAACACTTTATTGGGAAGACACATAAAAATAAACAGAGATTCGCAGAGTTTTGGATTATTATCTAAGTTTCAAACAGGCCTATGTTTACTTCAAAAGAAAATAATTAAAATATTATACCTAAACATATTTGTTTGAGTAAAAGTGAAAGGGAACTCAGTACATTGAGTAGGGCAATGATTACAGTGATTCTTCTCTATATGTAGAAAAATCAAAACTAGAACATACACTGGGCTATAGCTAACCACATTAAGTGGACAGAAAAATTCCAAACATGCTTTTGGAACTAGCTGAGGTAGCCAGGGGCCAGACATGAGCAGACCTCATCTTCTCAGTTTTCTTCTTCTGGTCATTTTAACTGGCACCCGTGAGTGCAAATATTACAGAAAAAAAATCTCATTTACAAATTAATTGGAACCAAATGAATTCCGTAGAAGATCATTTCTGGGAATAAACAGAAAGCATTAGCAAAGAGCTTCTAGTCTAAACACCCACCGTTTCTTTACTAGTTGCCTTTGTTGCCTTTATCTACAGCTTTGGTTAACTCCTTTAGATAATTCATCCAGAGTGAATGAACACAATCAAATCATGATTCCATTCGGCGTCCCTAAGAGCTCACCACCCACCAGGTGTGGTTCTAACAGCACCAGAGCACCTGCTTACCTCATTCCCCGTGCACCGAACCAAGAGCTGCCAGGTGGAGAGGGGCGGTGGTGCAAGCACAGACTCAGGGCTCGCCACTCTAGTCTGACCCTAGTTGAGACACTTACCAGCTTTATGGCCCTGGGAAAGTCCACTAATCTTTCTGAGCCTCAGTTTTCTCACTTGTAAAATGGGGATAATAATACATGCTGTGTGCACCTCAGAGAGTTATTGGGAGGATCAACGCTAGAACGCACGTAAATACCTTTTGTAACCTGTGAATCGTCATTTACACATAAGATTCTCTTAATTAGGCAAGCATGATTGTGATAATAATTTTAGGCATCGAGTCATACTTGTGGCGACTTAAGTCTCTGGCCCTTCACATGACCTACTTGCAAATGAATCACTCTCAGCTCACACTTGTGCGACGGATGCTTGGAACTCCACATGGGTCTTTTCAATCATGTCATGTCAAATTCCACTCTGTTGATGTCAGTCTAGGGTTCCAGCATTTTGAGATAATTTTGGATTTGGGTTGTGCCAACCACTGTATTGCTTACCCTTCCAATCTGTGTTATCTACACAGTTGAGCTCCCTGTCTCTCTGGTTTTTCAAGTTATAGATTGAAGTGTTAACCAATACAGTGCCAAAGAAAGTATTTCTCCTTTTCAGAGGCAGCTTGCTGCTGATTGTTCAGCCGTTTGTGAAGCCATGTACATAAGTTGTTTCCTTTATGCCAATCTTCTTCCACTGCCTAACTGCAGCCTCAGCCTCTTCAGATGGGTCTTTCTCTTATCCCTGATGAATCTACTATGTTTCGAGTTTGTCAATAACCTTTTGATCCCCAATCCCAGAAGTCCATGCCCTGCCCCCATCTGCTCAAGCATTTCAAAAGCATTGAACAGCCCTTCCTCTTAAACATCTCCCTCCCTTGGCTTCTCTTTGGTTTCGCAATGGCTGTCATTTTCTCTCCTGAGCTCCCTGATGGCTCTCCCAAGCTTCCCTTATAGGTCCTTTTTTAGCCTTAGCTACACAGAGCAGGGTTTCTTGCCTTGGCACTATTGGCATTTTGAACTTGATAATTCTTTGTTGTGGAGACTGTCCCGATGCACTGTAAGATCTTTAATAGCATCCTTGGCTTCTACTCACGAGACATCAGTGGCACTTTTCCCCCACAACCAAAAATGTCTCCAGACATTGCCAAATGTCCCTTGGGGGCAGGGGACAAAGTTGCCTTCCCCACCCTCACCTTGAGAACCATTGCTATGGGATAACCAGGCCTTCAACTCCACCCTGGGGCTGAGCTCAGTTCACATCTGCAGTGAAATATGTTCGTGTGGGCATTTTGTTTGTAACTTTTAGGCCAGTTAATCACCTATGACTTTGGTATCCTTGGCCCCTGCCCCAAATGTAAGCCCCTAAGGGTCTCTTCTCACCTTTATTCTATCTCTACACTGCTGAGTTCACTCTGGCCTTGTTTCCGTGCTTCTCTTTCTTTCTGGCCTTTCCTCTGCCCTCTTGGGCCCTTGTTCAAAGTAAGGAAACTCTCTCACCCCCTTAAGCTCCTTCCAGATGTTACCTCCATGTCCTTGTGTCCCCTTGTAGTTCTCACGAGTGGAGTCTGCCCACTGTCTCACACTCTGTAATGTGGATGAGCATCCTTCTCACTCCCACTGTCAACTCCACATCATGACTTTGTAATCCTTGGTCAAAACATTTCTGTGAAGCCTGAAATATTTACTACTTTTCCTTTTCAGAAGAAGTTTCTGACCCCAATCTAGTCTGGTTAAGAAAATATTTAGAACCATTCTGTCATCTCTGTGATCCCTGGCAAACTGCATATCTGCTCCCTGCAAGTCTGCTCCCTTCTCTGAGACTTTGGGACAATTCAATCTGACCAAACTTACAAATATTAAAAAAAAATGTTCCTTGACCAACCTCTTCCTCTCTGCCCTTCTGGTCCCTCATCCCATTCTCTGGTAATGACTATTCTACTTTTGATTTCTATGAGATTTGGTGTTCTATTGCATATAAGGTGGCTATAGTTAATGATAATACATTGTATATTTCAAAATAACTAGAAGAGAGAATTTTGCATGTTCTCACCACTCAAAGAGATGACAAATGACGGAGGTAATAGATATGCTAATTACCTGATTTGATCATTAATGTACACATGTATCAAAATATCACATTATACCCTGTAATTATGTACAATTACTATGTATCAACTAAAAGCAAAATGAAACTTAACAATGGGAAAAATGTATGTTCCTTTGAATCTCATGCCCTTTAGATAATTTTTAAAAAGCTATAGGTTTGCCTGGCATTTCATTTTAATGAAATAGGTTAGAGTAGAAAATTGCACTGAAGGTAATAAGGATAAAGTGCTGTTCTGAGGAATTGCGTTTCAGAGAAACACACATATATATGCAAATAATACACATGCATGTCCTGGGTTGTGATGTAAAGGGTATTTCTTTGTATGGGCTAGTTTAAAAAGCTTGAAAAGCAGTGAATCAGTGATTTAGATACACCTTCTTTTTCTTCAGACCCTCTGAACGTCTAGCTAACAACATTTATTAAAATCCTTGGCACTTAGCTTTAATCTTCCTTTCTATTTCATGTCCTCCCCTCCCACCAGACTGTGTAGTAGCTAAGGCCACGTGGAGGACTGGTTTAACACCTTACCCTCCAGTTCCTTGATCTCAAATCCAGTGAGTCTCACCTCTCATCTACTCTCAACTATGGTGGTATATGAAGCTTTTTCAGCAGGCACTAGGACATATCGTAGAAACGCCTACACTCAAAGTCCTTTCTCCTAACTTCTCATACATCTTATAGCAGGCAAAGACTTGGACTGACATAAGGTTTCCTTTATCAGAGGCTATGACCAGGTTTGACTTTGATAGCTACTATGTGGCACTCTCAACTGGGAAACCGTTGCCTTTTCTTTTTTTAGACAGAAGATCTGAGGAAAGAGCAGTTCAGGTCACCTCTCCTCAGGGTATTGGCCATGTGTACTGTGGTTTCCAGTCCCTGGGAAGCCTTGGGTCATTTGGAGTCTGCATTCCCTCTTGGCAGCTCAGTGCTTCCTGCTGCCTGACCAGGTCTTCTTAAACTACAGTTCTTGAAAGTCAGAGATGATTTCTTTCTCTCCTCACATAGATCACACATTTTAAGTTCTTGGATCTTTAGACATGATACAAGGAAGACTGGCCAGCAGTTATTATTGAGAAGGATATTTTCACTGTCCTCACAGCGACATTTGCTTCTTGGGTCCTCCTGTCCTAAGGTGAAGAGGATCCTACTTCCCCAAGAAACCATCTCTGGAGCTTGTAGAGCAGGAGCTTTTTAGGGGTGCTTTGGCCCAGATGTGAAGCACCTCTTCATCAGTCCAATGTCTGTCTTATAAGCAATGTGGGTTAATAGTATTCATGTATATTTCAAAGCTTCCAAAGCAATCATGGAACCTACACTCTGTGACCCCAGATGACAAAAGCAATGGCTCCCATTTCCTAAAGAGTAAAGCAGAGACTCCTCAGTAGGATCTTTCCTTTGAGGCTCACCAAACTCTTTCTCAACTTTTTTCTGCAACTTTTAGGCTAGTTAATCACCTATGACTTTAGTATCCTTGGCCCTTTCCCCAGATGGAAGTCCCTAAGGGACTGTCCTCTCTTTTACTCCATCTCCACACTGCCCTGTGCTACATCCACTCTGACCTTGTTTTCATGGTTCCGTGACATCACTAAGAAATCTTGTCCTCCACACTGACTTGGCACTTCTTCCTGAACACGTGCTGGCCATTCCCACTCCCAGACCTTGCTCATGTTGCTGCTTCAGCCTGGAAGTCCCCTTCTCTCTATTCCTCACCTCCCAGTGCTCACCTAAATGGTGGTTTCTTTGTGGCATCCTCTCTGGGCCACTCAATCAGATTAAGTCTCTGTTCCACATCTTCACAGCACGTTCCTTGTACCCCCATTGAGCTCCTCTGACCCTACTTTGTGTTGTAATAGTTCCTGTCAGTCTGTGTTTCCTCCTAACTACAAGTTCTTACAGGCAGGTACACTGTTGTAGCTCAGCCCCTCCTCAAGTTGCATGCTGCAGGGGTAGGCTATTATGAAGGGCTGAAACTCAACAAATGGAAATTCTTGCCTTCTTAGTCTTATTTTCTTGCCAGATTTAATTCACTAGGTTCAGTTATCGGGAGAACCAGGCAAACGAGACAGACCCTTTCAGCTGAGGGTGTGCTGAACTGAGTGAGGTCAAGGCTGAAACCTGCACCAGGGCCTTCAGCTGCTGTTAGCCAGCTGGGCACACTCATTAGGGCTCATCAACACCAGATGGATTGTCTTCAGGATACCAGTCTAGGAAGGCTAGAGGAAGGCTATAGTTCAGTACATCCTTCCCAATAGGGATTTAGCAAAGGTAAATCCCTACATGGGTGGCCATATAGAAACAGAGCTGAATTAAATGCAAATCTTCTTTGTAATTAGAATGTGTCACACTAGAAGATAATGAAGGTCAATCTTTCATTCTGATGATTGAAGCAGTATTTATTACTATAGTACCTATACAGAAGTATCTCTTGTGTCCCATATGTCACCAATCAGGAACTTGGTATCCAAGGTGGCATGGAAAGGACTTATGGAGTGTTGGGATTAAAACTCACAGCACAGGAAATTTATTCTGTGAATTGCACAGAATAAACGCCTCCTTTCCCACATCTATCCCACAATAACTTTTTGATAGCTTACTACATAAAAGTCACTGTAGAGACCCAGAGGTACATGAAGTCTTATCTTCATATGTTTTAAAACTTGGTAGGAAATATACAATGCATACATAAATATAGAATGATCCTATGAAGTATCAAGTATTAAGTATATGCCATAAAAATACAGATACGGTGCTGCCAGGGTTACTTTGGGCTTCCAGCATATTTACACGAATGTCCTTGCCTCTCTCCTCTCCTGTGTTAGATATTCTCTTTAAATGAAGTTGGGCGAGGAGCACTTACCATGACTGACACACGGACCAAGATCTTACAGCTCAAATACCATTGATCATCAAAACTTCTCTAAGAATAACATAGCGTCAATCGAAATCTCAGAGATACCTCGCCTACACCTTTCCCTAATAACTCAAATAGTATTGCTTTGGGTGACAGGAAAGAATTCCATCCCAAAGGATGGTCATTCAAACTCAAATAGCAAAGTATACTTTGCCCTCTTCAGCAGGTTTCCCAGAAGGTTGGCAGGAGCTCTGTACCTGGGGAGAGAGGTAATTTTCCCCCATTTCTCTATGCAGAAACGCCGAAGCCCATTGCTTCCTCGAAGAGCTGCGAAGCCTTCGTAGGGCACGCTGGATGTTCCTGTGACAAACTGCAGTAATCTCAGTCTCTGCTCATTGTTGAAGCGTTCCACCGCAGCCCAGAACCAGCGGATCACAAGATGTCCATCGTGATAGCCTGAACAGAGCAAAGGGAGGGAGAGAGAGGATGTGGAAAAAGGAGGAAGGGGTGGAGGGAAGAGAGAAAGCAGACACACATCAGGTATGACAAGAGCTGAACAGTTGGTTTTGATCTGTAGATATCTCTAATGATGACCTTTAGACAGATCTAAAACAATCTGTGTAACTAGGTCAAGTTTTAAAACAAAAGTAGATTTAGAAAACAGCCACTCTATAAAAGGCCTTATGTCCTGAGGGATGTCCTCAGAGATGTCTGCTTTCTATTTAAACAATTGGGACTCCACTTGAAATGTTCCTGCCTCATATAAATGTGGACAAGGAACAGAAAGGCTTGGTAGACACAAACCCTCTATGAATAGAATATTTCAGCATGTTTTCTTTGTTCTGACATCTCAGCTCTCAGCAACCACATGCCACAGGAGAGTGTAGGACCTATGAAGGGTTGGAGGTAATGGCAAGCTTGGTGCCCCTTGAACAGCTGTTCTCAGGCCAACCCTGGGTGGAGACACGTTGGTCCCACAGAGGAAGCATTGGGTCCCTTTCACAGTAAGTTGAGGAGACCAAGCTTGGATCAATCAAGTAAGATAAGTGATTTGCCACTGACAGCAAATGCAAGAGGCATTTCAAGATGGGAGAAATCTATGTGGGCTGGGTAGAAACAAAGAAAGCTTCAGAAAGGGACGAGGTGTTAGTTCAGTGTACGAAGAAACTGTGTAAGTGGAGGGAAGGAGGAGGACATTCCTGGCAGGGGAAATAAAGAATAACAAGAACAAGGAAGGAATATGCAAGAAAGAGTAAGCCACTGGGGTAGAGGGGGATCTAGACGGAAAGAAAAATTGCTGGGGGTGTTAAGAAGCCTAAACAGCCAGGCAGAAACATTTTGACATCGCACCCTAGGTCAGCAGTTTTCACACCATTCCAGAAGGGCATAGGGGTACCACAGAGGCTTCTGCAGCTGAGTGTACTAAGAGATGAGGCAGGCTGAGGTTATGCCCTTGGCTCACTCAGTATAGTATTGATTGGGCTTTCCATGCAATATTTTATCTAAGGAGTTTTAAGGCTATAAAAACCATGGGAACATCTCTTCTATAAGTAATAAGGAACTTGTTTGTAGGTAGGGAATGGCCTGATGAAAGTAATGTTTCGAGAAGGTGAGTTTGGCAGCATGAAGGGTGAATAATTGGGAGAGATTAGAAATTAGATTTGGAAAGATACAGCTAGAACTGTGTTACAACAAACCAGGACTGTGGCTAAGAGGGCTCTAATTCTACAGGAAGTGAGAGACACTTCCCTGGAGGCATGCTAGCCTCTCAGGAGCTGGCCCCTGGACGGAGTGTTCTCTGTAAACCTCTACACCATGTCAAGCCAGAGACTCGACCAGTGGGTATGATGTGAACTGAAGAACAGTTCAGGTTGGAAGCTGGAGAAAGGCATGTATTTAAAAAGAAAGGCTAAATTTTTTGAGGTCTTCAGAAAGAGATGAATTATATATACACATGCGGTGGAATATTATTCAACCACAAAAAGGAAGGAAGTACTGAAACATGCTACAACATGGGTGAACCTCGAAGCAGTGTGCAAAGTCAAGAAGGCAGACACAAAAGACCACATTTTATGTTTCTATTTGTATGACATATCCAGAATAGGTAAATCCATAGAGACAGAATGCAGATTGATGATTGCCAGGGGTTGGTGGAAGGGGAGAGTGAGGGTGAGAGCAACTACTTAATGGGTACAGGGTTTCCTTCTGGGGTGATGAAAAATATTTTGGAACTAGCTAGAGGTAGTGGCTGTATAACACTGTGAATGTACCAAATGTCACTGAATTGTTCACTTAAAAATGGTCAGTTATGTGCCACATCACTTTCACCTCAAATATATATATATATACACGTATATATATATATATTTTAAGTGATGAATTAATTGTATTGTGACAGCTGTACCATCACAGTTCCTGCTAGCTCACCTCCCCGGTACTCGGTATTATTCCGCCAATCATTTAGGTCAATTTCTGCGGTACCAGCTATCACCAGCTCCAGCTCCCTGGCATCGAACACGGAGACAAGCCTCGAATCTACAACCTGGAATACAGATTAGGCCTCAGTATCCAGGTCCAAAACACACAGAAAGGTTATATTCATTGTTATTATTTCTGTGGATTAAACTGGGAAACTATCACTGACAATTTTTTTTTACCTGCAATCTTTTTAAAGTTCAAAATCATTGCTATAATCTGAATGTTTATATCCCTCCCCTCCCCAAATTAATATGTTGAAAAGTTTACCCCCCCCCCAGATGATAGTATTAGGAGATAGGGCCTTTGGGAGGTGATTAGGTCATGAGGGCTTTGTGCTTTTATTAATGAGACCCAAGATAGACGCCTGCCCCTTCCACCATGTGGGGACAAGTGAGAAGGTGCCTTCTGTGAACCAGAAGGCAGGCCCTCACCAGACACCAAATCTGCTGGTGCCTTGACCTTGACCTTCCCAGTCTCCAAAACTGTGAAAAACAAATTTCTGTTGCATATAAGTCACCCAGTCTGTGGTATTTTGTTATAGCAGCCCAAATGGACTAAGACAATCATTGATTTAAACATTTTAGAATACAACCCTTCATGCACTGGGAACAAAAAAAAAGATTCCATGCTTTTCACAGCCTCTGATGCTCCCTTTCAGAATGATTTTGTAAATAAACCTAAATGGACTTTCTGTAGTCATGTTTAAGTTTTCAAGTAGCATCATACTTTAAAGGCAAAGAAAAATCCAGATCACTTTGAAGTACATACTTAATAGCCATCAGTAGCACCATTTCACTTAAAATGAATTCTCTCTTTTACATACAATAGTGATTCATTTTCTAAAATTGAGCATTCTCTAGGAAAACAACTGTATTTTCCTTCCTTTCTCAAGCCTCGACCCTAAGATTAAGAGTCTTGTGCTCTATTGACTGAGCTAGCCGGACATGAATTTGTCTTTTCCTTCCCTTCTTCCCTTCTTTCTTCGTTCAAAGATCTGAGAGGTCCTGTTTTGTTAGGACCCTGTATTCTGGCTTTTTATCTCGTGTCAAATGTACCGGGTACAACTGAACACCTGCAGTGGTATCCCCTTTAATCAAATCAGTGGTATCCCCTTTAATCAAACCAGTGATGGATGAGACCACGGCTGAGGTACTTCTCCATTAAGGCAGGGAGAGAGAACATGCCAAGAACCAAGACAAGAGAAAATATTGACAGCCTTGTTTTCTAAACTGGAAAAGTTTAAGGGTGTCATTTTTTATGAAAGGATATCTAGCAGCTTTCCCTGACTTCTCAATTTACCACTCAGCGTGAATTACGTGGCACAAAGTGATGCTATAGCACGGGGTTCCCAACCCCAGGGGCCACAGACCAATACTGGTCCATGGACTGTTAGGAACCAAGCCACACAGCAGGAGGTGAGCGGTGGGTGAGGGAGTGAAGCTTCATCTGTATTTACAGCCGCTCCCCATCACTGGCGTTACCACTTGACCTCCATATTTTGTCAGGTCTCATAGGAGCATTAGATTCTCATAGGAGTGTGAACCTTATTATGATAACTGTGCATGCAAAGCTTGTGCATTCCTTATGAGAATCTAATGCCCAATTATCTGAAGTGGAGCTGAGGTGGTGATGCTATATATTTCATTACACATTATAACGTAATAATAATGGAAATAAAGTGCGCAATAAATGAAATGTGCTTGAATCATCCTGAAACTATTCCCTCTGGTCCCCTTCCCCACACCCCTTCCTCTCCCATCTGTGAAAAAGTTGCCTTCCGTGAAACTGTTCACAAAAGGGAACTGAAACAAACTGAAACTGATGCCAAAAAGGTTGGGGACTGCTGCTATAACAAGATACAAATTTAGCAAGCGTGGACAGTACTCCCTGATGTCTTCATTTATTATTGTTTGAATGAAAGGAAGCACCACTTGCACATATCCTGAAAAGAGCTAGGTGTTTCCACATCTGGCACACCAGTACCAGCATTCTGAGAGGATTTTTCACCCAGGACAAGAGTTGGGTCTCCAGAGAACTCTGATCCCTCACCTCAGCCATCCACCCCACGCGGGTGCTTGGCGCACCCTGATGAGTAGTGCCCACCGAGCCCTTTGCCTGCCTCGGTCCTTTCCCTCTGTCCTCCTCATCTGACTTGCTGCCTGCCCCAGGGAGCTTTGAGGAGTAGAGGCCACCCCAGGGCCCCAGCCTGCCTTCCCCAGGTCACTGGGGCCTCACCTCGTAGAAGCCTCGCACGAGGGCCTCTGTCTGCTGCACCACGCCACGCTCTACCCGCCACTTCACCATTCGCTCGATGTACTCTTTCTTGTTCTTCTCCGTCACCTGGGTGTTAGCTCCTCCAGACTTCAACTCCCTTTCTGTGACCTTGTGGGACAACAGAAAGATTATCGTGATGCATGTCAGTTCAGCTTATCTCCCAGCGAGGCATGCTGATTTTAGGGCGAGGGTTATATGCAAAAAGTCCTCTTTACACTACATCATCTCTTCCTTAGTTCCTTTTTCCTAAAAAGACACTGGTCAGCCGGCCTCGGTGGCTCAGCGTGTAATCCCGCGCCTTTGGGAGGTTGAGGTGAGAGGACTGCCTGAGCCCGCGGGTTCGAGACCTGCCTGGGCAGCGAGACCTCATCTCTACAATAAATAAAAAAATCAACCGGGTGTGGTAGCGCATGCCTGTAATTCCGGCTACTTGGAGGGCTGAGGCGAAAGGATCGCCGGAGCCCAGCAGGTCGAGGCTGCGGTGGCCGGGAGCGGCCACTGCACTCCAGTCTGGGCGACAGAGTGAGACTCCAACTCAAAAAAAAAAAAAAAGACACTGGTCATTCTAAGCAGATTCTCAAGCACCTTGGAAGGGTCACATTTTTTTGTTTTATAAAGAGAAAACAAAAGGAAAATGTCCTTAGTGGTGAAGCTAAATATCCCAACATTACAGGATGTACTTGATGCCCCCAAATCTCAATTTTTTTTTTTTTTGAGCTGGAGTCTTACTTTGTTGCCCAGGCTGGAGGGCAGTGGTACACTCACAGCTATCCCAGCATTGATTTGTTGGGCGCCGGCGATCTTTCTGCCTCCAAGTAGCCAGATCTGGTTATTTATTTATTTATTGTAGAGACTAGGTCTTGCCAAATTGCCCGGGCTGGTCTCCAACCCATGGGCTCAGGCAATCTACTTGCCTTGGCCTCCCAAAGTGCTGAGTCACCGAGCCCGGCCTCCAAATTTCAATTCAAGCAAATTCTTGACAGCCTCCAGCCTCCCCTCCCACAGGTGACCAGAAGAGGAAAAATAGCAGAGGGTGGGAGGATGGTTTTTATAGCCAGGTATAACAGTGGCTGAAAAATGACAGCCTCACCTTGATCGGGGAAGCAGAAACATGTAGGAGCCGAGAAAGAATGGAACTGGCATTGCCACCTTAGTGTGGTGATGTATGTCTGTTAGGACAAGCTAGAGTCATCAAGGACAGTCATGATCTGTGTTCTATCCTTGCACAGGCAAGAAGGAAGTAACATAGCAGACTTTTTAATCAAAATGTGTTCATGTTTGAAGGTGGTAATCTTCAGTCATCTTAAATTCACTTATGGGTTCACCTCACTGCTCAGTACTATAAGACAAATAGTTACTGGTTTAAGATACATGCACACTGGCCGAGCATGGTGACTCATGCTTGTGATCCCAGCACTTTGGGAGGCCAAGGGGAGAGGATTGCCTGAGCCCAGGAGTTTGAGACCAGCCTGGGCAACACTGTGAGAACTCATCTCTACAATAAATTAAAAAAAATTAGACAGCATGGTGGTGTTCATCTGTAGTCCCAGCTACTTGGAAGGCTGAGGTGGAAGGATCCCCTGAGCCCAGCAGGTTGAGGCTGCAGTAGCCGTGATTGTGCCACTGCATTCCAGCCTGGGGTACAGAGTGAGACTCTGACTTTAAAATAAAACAAAACAAGATAAAATAAAACACACACACATACACACACACACATAAATGTATCTGGCATTTAGGACACAGGTACCTAAACAAAACAGTTCACAACTTGCAAACTGCCTAAAAATACGAAAAAAATTTTAAAAAGTTAAATGTGTCATGGATGCATAACATATATGTAGATATTAGCCTATTTTTATCATTTACTACCATAAAATACACACAAATCTATTATAAAAGTTAGTTTATCAAAATTTACACACACAGAGCACACCTGGTCCCATTCTCAGTCAAGAGAAAAGCAAATGACCATAAAGATTCAATACTAGCCGGGCTCGGTGGCTCAGCCTGTAATCCCGCGCCTTTGGGAGGCTGAGGTGAGTGGATTGCCTGAGCCCGCGGGTTCGAGACCCGCCTGGGCAGCGAGACCTCATCTCCATAATAAATCAAAAAATCAGCTGGGCGTGGTCGCGCATGCCTGTAATTCCAGCTACCTGGAAGGCTGAGGCGGAAGGATCGCCGGAGCCCAGCAGGTCGAGGCTGCGGTGGCCGGGAGTGGCCACTGCACTCCAGTCTGGGCGACAGAGTGAGACTCCAACTCAAAAAAAAAAAAAAAAAAAAAAAAAGATTCAATACTAAATCATAGCTGCATAAAATTCACTATAGTACATACTGTATTACTGTAATAATTTCATTGCTATCTCCTATTGTTAGTGTGGTGAGCTCAAATGTTGTGACTACCCACTTAAAACTCCTAGGACTCTAAGAGTGGAATGTGGTGGTGTGCGTCTGTAGTCCCAGCGACTCAGGAGGCTGAGGTGGGAGGCTCTTGAGCCCCGGAGTTTAAGGCTGCAGTGAGCTATGATTGTGTCACCGCATTCCAACCTGGGCCCATGTGATACAGCCATTTGTCTTTCCAGTAAATTGTGTACTGCGGTAAAAAGTTATCTCTTTTGGTTGTCACACACTTCTCACCATGTTTAGTGCAATACCATGAACCTTGAATAACACCACAGCACCCATACAAAATAGTGATGCTGGACATGCTCCCAAGAAGCAAAGTCATGGCATTATAAGAAAAGGTTGAATTGCTTAATATGCATCAAAGATTGAGGTCTGTGACTGTGGTTGCCCATGGCTCAAAGATAAATAAAACCAGTGTAAGGACCATTATAAAAAAAAAGAAAGGTGAATTTCTGGAGCACTATCACTGTAGCTATGCCAGCAGGTGTGAAAACCATAAAGATTCAATACTAAAAAAAAGTGCCTTTTTATCTTGTATTGAAATTTCAGCTTTTATGTGGGTGCAGGGTTGCCATAAGAAAGGCATACTGGCAGGGCACAGTGGCTCATGCCCATAATCCCAGCACTTTGGGAGGCTGAGGTGAGAGGATTGCTTGACCCCACAGGTTCGAGACCAGTCTGCACAACTTGGTGAGCCCTCATTTCTACGATAAATCAAAAAATTAGCTGGACATGGTGGCATTTGCCTGTAGTTCCAGCTACTTAGAAGGCTAAGGTGAAAGGATCATCTGAACTCAGCAGGTTGAGATTGCAGTGGACCTGAATGTGCCGCTGTACTCTAGCCTGGGCAACACAGTGAGACTCCAACTCAAAAGAAAAAGAAAGAAAAGAAAGGCATACTTATAGACTCTATATGATTGGAGAACAAGTGAAGTCATTATATGACCACTTAAAGCAAAAGGAAGATGAAGAATCTAATGGAGAGTTTAAAGTCAGAAAAGGGTGGTTTGAAAGTTTTAGAAAGAGGATTGGTTTTAAAAATGTCAAGATTATAGAAGAAGCAGCTTGTGCTAACCAAAAAGCAGCAGATGAGTTCCCAGACACCATTAAAGATATCTGTCTGATACCTTTTAATACCTTTTAATACATATTAGGGCCAGGCTCGGTGGCTCAGCCTGTAATCCTAGTGCTTTGGGAGGCCGAGGTGAGTGGATTGCTTGAGCCTGCGGGTTCAAGACCCGCCTGGGCAACTTGGCGAGCCCTTGTCTCTACAATAAATCAAAAATCAGCTGGGAGTGGTATTGTACGCCTGTAGTTCCAGCTACTTGGAAGGCTGAGGCAGAAGGATCGCTGGAGCCCAGCAGGTGGAGGCTGTGGTGGCTGGGAGCATGCTACTGCACTCCAGTCTGGGCAATGGAGTGAGACTCCAACTAAAAAAAAAAATTCATATTGGACAATGCCCTGGGTCACTCAGAACCCCGTAAGTTTAACACCTAAGGCACTGAAGTGATCTACTTGTCCCCAGTCACAACATCGCTAATGCAGTCTCTAGATCAGGGACTCATAAGGGTCTATAAGGTTCATGAAACATGGTACTCAAGGAAAGAGTACCTGACAGAACATCATAAAAGTCTGGAAGGATTACACCATTGAAGATGCCATCATTGTTACAGAAAAAGCCGAAAAAGCCATAAAATTCATCAAGCCCCAAACAATAAATTCCTGCTGGAGAAAACTGTGTCCAGAAGTTATGCACGACTTCCCAGAATTTACAACAGAGTCAATCAAGAAAACCATAAAAGAGATTGTGGATATGGCAAAAAAGCTGAAGGCTGAAGGGTTTCAAGATACGGATCTTACATACGTCAAGAGTCAATTGACACCACACCAGAGGAACCAGCAAAAGATGACTTGATGGAGATGAGTGCTTCTGAACCAGTGTTAGACAATGAAAAGAATATTAAAGCAGTGCCAGAAAACAAATTGACATTAGACCATCTGGCAGAAGGGTTCCGATTATTGAAGACACGATTGACTTCTTTTGTGACATGAACTCTTCTATGAAATGGGCACTGAAACTAAGCAAAGAGTGGAAGAAAGATTGGTGCTGTATAGAAACATTTTTAGAGAAATGAAAAAGCAAAAAAGTCAGACAGAAATTATGACACATTTCCATAAAGTTATATGGAGTGTGCCTGCCTCTCCTGCCTCCCTTCCATCTCTTCCACAGCTTTCATTTCTGCCACCTCTGAGACAGCAAGACCCAGTCCTTCCTTCCTTCTCCTTCTCAGCCTACTCAGTGTGAAGACAACAAGGATGAAGACTTTATGATGATCCACTTCCACTTAAGGAATTGTAAGTATATTTTTTCCTCCCTATGACTTTCTTAATAACATGTTCTTTTCTCTGGCTTACTTTATTGTAAGAATACAATATGTAATATATATAACATACAAAATATGTATTAATTTACTGTCATTGATAGAGCTTCTGGTAAATAGTAGGTTATTAGTAGTTAAGTTTTTTGGGGAGTCAAAAGTTAGACACAGATTTTTTTGTGTGGGTCTAGCCCCTAGCCACTACATTGTCCAAGGGCTAATGAAACATTATTCTAGATCCACAACACAACCTTATTTGTCACTGGGGACATTTAAACTTTCTTCTGAGTTGTTCAGTTCCTACACTTACACACATACAGAATTATT